TATACCAAAATAACCTCATCATCTAATATTTGCATTATAACATTATATACCAAAATAACCTCATCATCTAATATTTGCATTATAACATTATCTATATTAAAGGTATCCTCATCATGATAAGAAATTGGATCCAAGCCTATAGTGTTTTGAGGGGTAATAAAACGTGACCGGATAAAGATGAACTCACAAAGGCTTCCGACGACGAAGACGAAGAACGTAGCACAACAGCGATTTGAGTTGCTGTCTTCGGTTCGGCTGCTGGCTGTTGACGATGGAGATGAGGGACGTCGCAGCAGCGGCGGTGCAGGGAGGAGGGCGGCAGCAGCTGCCGGCGGCGAGGAAGAAGCGGCAGCAGTCGCCGGAGATGAGGAAGAAGCAAAAAGGAAGGGAAGCTTTTCTTTGTGTGGTTGCAGGTGGGTTAGGGAGGTTTTTCGTGTGGTAGCTGCAGAAAATGGAGTTTATGCCATCCCTCTACCCACTCCCTACATGATAGAACAATAGGCAAAGACTCCTAGACTAAAATGAGGTGTCAAACAAACAAGGGTTGTTGGTTGGGTCATGGCTCAAGGAGTAACCATGTATTACCCCCCCCCCCCCCCCCCCCCCCAATCCCTTTTTTTAAATTAATCAACCCCAAATATCTAGCCTTTGAATTAAAGGAATGAAAATACAAATGTAAATGTAAAAAGGGTTTTCTTGAAGTATAACCACATAAGTATATATATATATATATATATATATATATATATATATATAAGTATATATATATACATAAAATATTAAAAAATATGAGAAATTTAAGAATACCTCGCAACGGATCGAAAGGAAATTTTTGACGCGAGAAGGACGATTGGAGACGGTGGGGAAGAGAATTTCAGGGTGTTACACTTAACGATTATCCTAATTATATTTTAGATTTTTTATATTTAAAATGAGATGTTTATCCTGTATTTGATTATGTTTATCGGCAGTTAGTTACACGAATTCAGATATGGAGCTTTAATAAGTTGTACTTATGCACAATCTACTTGTAATCTTGAGTTTTAAGTAACATGCATTAATAAATAGTACTTTATGCATAAAAAGTGGTTTTTAAGAGTTTTTGTCAAATGTTTTATAATGTAGTATAGATAAAACCTTTTAATTTTTTAAAGCCGGTTAAAAATGTCCTTTAAATCTGTAAAAAACAGATTAATATGATAAAAATTTAGAAAAAACCTAAAAAAATCAATAGATTATTTGATTTTGAATGATTAAGTCTCTCTGGTTTTTTTAACAACTAAATCCTTAAGGCTGCATTTGGTACATGGGACGGAACAGGACAGGACGGAGCAAAATTTATTGTCCCACGTTTGGCGCAACATGAGACAGAATAAGAACTCATTGTCTTGCGTTTGGCGTGACATGGACAGAGACAAGAACTGGAACAAAAGAAGTTTTTTCTTGTTCTACCAAAACAGGTGGAACAAGATGAGACAAGAATGAGACAAAAATTAAAATATCACTAATTTACTCTAGTTTGATATATTGTTGGGTTCAAGAATGTGCTTAAATGTTGTATTCAAGTTCTTCCATTGTATTTGCTTTGTAATAGTTAGCCTTTACTATTTTCCTAGTATAAATAGTCTTTAGTTTGCTAATTGTAATTAGTTCAGTTCATAATTCAGATTAGTGCTGATAATCACTTTGTACTTTTCTCTCAAGAATTACAATATCAACTTTGGTGATAAATCTCTCTCTACTCATCTTGATTCAAGTTCTTGAAGATTTAATCTGATTTGTATGATTTTGGGAACATCAATTGGTATCAGAGCACAGATTGCAGCAATTTGATAGAGGATTTACAAATTTTTCGAGGAATTTTGCACGGATTTAGTGAATTTTAATCGCCTGTTCTTGAGTGTTCATCGCCTGTTCTTGAGTGTTCATCGCCTGTTCTTGAGTTTTCTTGACCGGATTGCACATTTTCTGCTTTAATCGCATCAATTCTTAGTGTTAATTGTTAAAATTTGCACTACTAGATTCGCATTTTCAATCTGAACATTTTTTATTCACATCATTTTGTGTTTTAATCAAGTTTTGAGTGATTTTAGAGTTTACGAAAAAGTTACTGTTCTTCAAAAACTCATAATTTTTTCATGTTTTGATCCAAATTTTTGGTGAAAAGTGTTAAAATTGTGTTTGTGCTTGAATTTCAATCGTATAACTCTTTGATCGGTTTAGATTAAATCGGGTATAGTTGTGCGCGATTTAAGACTTCAACATTTTGCGTGAATTGTGATTGTGCGATTTAGGTTAAATCGGGTAAAGCCTGAGCGATATAGATTTAAATCGCTTGTTGGTGTGTGTGATTTAGTGGTAAATCGTTTAAACGTTGTCCGATTAAGTGATAATCCGATTATAACCTGTACGATTTAAGTGTGCGATTTAATCTTGGTCTCAAGTGTTTGTACGATCTTTGACTTTGACTTGTTGAGCGGATTGTTGATTTTGACTATTTGAACGGATTTTGACTTTCATTGTCAAGCGGATTGAATTTCTTTGACTTTTTGAGCGGATTGAATTGTTTGACCTTGTAATTGAGTGTATTGTTTGATCGGATATTAATTGTATGGATTTCAATCGTATATTGACTTGCTTTCAGAACCTATTCGTCTATTCCTAACCTTAATAGCTTATTCAAAAAGTCACTTGCTCATGAACTCGCAGCTTCGCCAGAAGCTACGAAGGGGGGGGCCTCGGCCCGGGAAGGGGAGAGTGGCCGAGTGGTCAAAAGATGGAATTGACCTTCCACACAGACACCTATTCAAGATATGGATATTAGACTGTCCCACATATGAGACAGATTGTTCTTCTCACCATCCCCTGAAATACCCAATCCGGTACATTATGACAAGCTTAGCCCCCAGCCGAAGAGTTGGCTAGGCCCCCTGTCTTGCATGCAACATTCACAAAATGTTCCAAGTCTTATAGATGGTGGCCCCGTTACTTCCCCCGGGGTCTCGCATTAGCGGAGCANCCCCTGTCTTGCATGCAACATTCACAAAATGTTCCAAGTCTTATAGATGGTGGCCCCGTTACTTCCCCCGGGGTCTCGCATTAGCGGAGCAGCCCCTACCTTAACCGCACAAGCCTGGGCTGGGCCTACCTCCATCCCTAGAGGAGCCGTATGAGGCGGAAGCTCCACGTACGGTTTTGAAGCCGAGCMTATAAAAAATCGAAAAGATCTAACTACTATATGGGACATAATTGGGAGAAGCTCATCCGAAACTAGAGCTAGAAAGGCCTCGAGCGTCGATCAATCCTCAATCACAGGCCGCTCTGTCATTGTCTGATTTTTTGACTTGTTGACTTTTTGTGTCTGTATTCAATTTTGTTAATTGTGCGATTTTTGGCTAAGTGTTTGAATTCACCGGATTTCTCATCCGGATATATTGTGTATTGTGTGATCTTGTTTGTCTTTGTTGTCCGGATATCTAATCTGGATAACCTGTTTTGATTAGAAAATTGACAATCTTGTTGTCCAGACTTTTAATCCGGATAAGATTGTTCGGACTTCTAATCCGGATAAGTCTTTGTGCTTA